CAGGCTGGTCTTGAACCTGCGGGCTCAGGCAATCCACTTGCCTCGGTCTCCCAAAGTGCTGGGATTACAGGTTGAGCCACCAAACCCAGCCTGATATGATTTTGAATACAGCCCTGACATCACACCTTCCTCCAAGGTGCCACTCCTCAGGGCTGGGCTTTTTCTGAGTCTATCATGCTGAGCATGGATGCAACTATATCTTCTGGACCACCAAGGACTCTGTCCCACCACAATGACCAAGTACATGGGACCTAGATTATGTAAGAACTAAGGGAAGGACAGGACAAAAGAACTGTAAACACTGGCTCCAAACAAATCAGTGCATGAGAGACCACAGGAAAAGGAAATATTACAAAGATGATTTCTAAGGATGGTCTTGCAAGAACAGCCTATGGTTTATGTAGACATTGGTAATGTCAGTGATGAATATGCCTGGCATAGGTAAGCATGAAGGAATGTCAGGAAGAGGAGAAGTAGAACCTGTGACCACTGGAGCCTCAGATCTGGATAAAGTCACCTCACGGCCAGAGGACAAGCAAGGTGGGGTGCATTTGGGTGACTGTAAAACCCCTGACTCTGACTCTTTCCCTGGGAGCTTACAGTGAAGCAAGTGTTAGCTCTGCTCAAGGAAAGGCAGTATGCACACCTCAGTCCTACCAACCACAGTACCTACCCAGAGAATTAGGGTAGTAACCTGTGCCCCTGGTCTTGATGTAAGAAACAGTCTTGCCAATAGGAAAAAATGGGAGAGGCAGCGACTGCCTCAGGTCACAGGGTAAACGTGAGGAACTTACCCAGGGATGATATAAGTGCCAAATTATCCAACATCACGTCATGGTACAAGCATCTCAGAGTCTCACTAAGGAGATTCCATTCCTCCCAGGAAAAGTTCACAACCACATCTTCAAAGGTCACAGGCCCTGTGATGATGGTTACAGATGAAACTACAAATAGTCCCTATGTTGAGGTTCCACAATCCATCTCCCCCACACACCCACCCTTGCCCATCTTCCACTTGAGATCCCCAGGTCAGAGGAGAAACTAGGCCCACTGGTGCTACTGTCTCCTCCTGGGCTCACTGGTCATGCTGTACAGCCATTAGCAACATATATAGTGAACAAATAGGTATCTATGTTGTGGTCCTGATATAAAGGGATCCACCCCCTTCTGACAGCCATTTCTGCTAGTATGGACAAGGTTATGTAAAGTCCAATACCATACCCTGGGTTCATAAGACATACTTCCTCTATAAATATATTTATTCATTCATTCATTTATTGAGTCAGAGTCTCTTGCCCAGGCTGGAGTGCAGTGGCAAGCTCACGGCCACTACAGCCTCGACCTGCTGGGCTCAAATGATCCTTCTGCCTCAGCCTTCCAAGTAGCTGGAACCACAGACACGTGCCACCACACTAGGCTAATTTTTAAATTTATTGTAGAAATGAGGTCGCACCAAGTTGCCCACGCTGGTCTCGAACCCCTGGGTTCAGGCAATCCTCTGGATTCCACCTCCCAAAGTGCTGGGATTACAGGCATGAGCCACCATGCTCGGCCATACCTATCGTTTTTTTAGACTGCACAGAAATATGCCCATGGCCATCTCCACCTAAGTGTATCCCATGATCAGAATATCTCTGATCTATAGACAAGTTAATTTTTTTTTTTTTTTTTAGAGACAGGGCTTTGCTCTGTCATCCCAGCTGGAACACAGTGGTATGATCATGAATTACTGTAGCCACAAACTCCTGGGCTCAAGAGATCTCCTACCTCAGCCTCCTGAGTAGCTATAACTATAGGGTTGTGCCACCATGCCCTGTCCATTTGTTGTTTTTGTTAGTGATGAGGTCTTGCTATATTACCCAGACTGGTCTCCAATTCCTGGCCTCAAGCAATCCTTGCATCTCAGCCACCCACAGCACTTGAGATTACAGATGTGAGCCACTGCACCCAACCTACAAGTATTTTAATTCTCTCCTTTTCCTTCCACTGGTGTGAACTGAATTCTCCCCTCAGGGTTACGGTGTTAATGAAATAAAGGACACCTGATACAGTACAGATGCCATTAACAGCTGATTACAAATCATATAACTTTCAGCCTGGGAGAGGAAGACCTACTCACTACCTAGGGACACATGAGGGTTACACTGTGGATAAGAGTGAGCAACCAGGGACTAGGGTAGGCAAGATCTGTAAGATACAGATGATATGATGAACTCTTATCTCCTTGAGAGGATGCAACTGGCTTGTTTAAATAACTCTGAATAGGGATGGAATTGAAATGCATGACAAAATATAACAATCAGGAACTATGCCTGATCCCTTTGATGAAAAGTTTGTTAGTTCAGGAGATATGATCCAGGAGAGTAGAATGGGAAAGGGATCTGCACTCAGACCATCTGAGGTCATACCAATATCACCAGATGTAAAAGCAGCACACCACGTTGGGTCTTCATTTTTGGACTTACACTGCAACAGAGTATGTTTGGAAATTCAAACAAAATTCAATAGGTCCACAGAATTCTCACAGTTCCCAATAGTGGGTATCTCGAATCATTCCACAAAGACCTACATCAAGGCTCCATACTCACACAGAACCACGTGAGCCTTTACATATCCATGGCCCTATTCCAGTTCTGTGCTATACTTGCTGACTCCTTAGCAATAACTACCTTCCTCTGTCCACCCTAGGCCTAGTGACTGTCATATATTTCTCCTGACCATAGCCACCAGGATGAATAAAATCCCCCCAGGCACCAACAAAATCTTGGTGAGTCCATACAGTGGTGAATATGCACCAACTCCAGCCTCAGTTTCATCTTCCCTCAAATACTCCAATGCTTCTGCATGCATCTAATTTTCATTCTCACCTTGGAAGTCCATACCCCTTGCCCAAATTATGCTGTCTGATACCTCTTACCTTCATGGTCACGTATCCCCCCCTCCTGTGTTTAGGAAGCCAAATAACACCAATCAGGGACCCAGGCAGGAGATCTAGATCCCACCTTTCAACCACTCCATCCTGGCCCCCTAAAAGATTTACCACTATAATCTGATGTGTACTCTCCTAAATGTGACCCATAGCAATTTACCCTAGTACACACATTAGCTACCATATATCAGATGTTTCCAGTAACAATCAATTCCCAGATATCCCAACTTATATGTCTAGTTACCCAGTGGATGTCTCCAATTAATGGTCTCTGAAATGTCTCAGACTATGAACAGGGTTGAAACAACACTCCTGATAACTTCCAATGAACAATATGCCTACTACCAATTGACACATCTCAGTTGGTGCAGCTTTCATTACTATAGCTACTAAGACTGAACCTCTTGGGTCATAACTGACTCCTCTCTTTCACACACTACAATCTACAGAACATGTGGGTAGGATCAGGGCCAATGAGGAAAAGAACAACGCTCCACTACCCTGTGTGGGTTAAGTACTTGTGCGGTCATGAGTCGCTGAACAAAGAGAAAGAAGTTACAAGAGTGTGTCCTCGATGAGATTCGAGTAGAACAGATCTCCCTATACCTTTTCTAACCCCTGGATCCTGGTGACCTCGGGCAGGCTGTCTGATCTGAGTGCCTCAATGCAAAACGTCACATCTTTTTTCTCCCAAAGTTTATTAGAGAAAGAAGAGAGAAAAGACAGGGTGACATGTCAGAGCTGGCAAGGGGGAAAGAAACCACAAACGTTACTTCTTACCACCTATGTGACCTACATAAAGATTCAACTTCCCAGGTCCCCAAGGTCCTCATCATCTCTATCCATTCTGTTTTCCTTTGGCCTTTAAAGCCTGAACTTTCATCGCGCCCTTCCTTTGTCCAAAACTCTCCATGGCTTCTGGAGGCCTCCCAACGACCCTACAACCCTCAGCCGGCTACGCCAGGAGT